CTTGCTGGGTCGGCGCGGGCGGGAGGCGGTCCCTCGGGGTGGTCGGTGGGGCAGATGCGCCCAGGCTGGGGCAAGGCCGTGATGGGCCGCCTGGGGATCCCTGGAGTCCGACGTCCGTCCGCAGGGCGGCAGGGGTGCCCCCGCCGAGCCCCGCCGAGCCCTTCCCGGCCCCCGCGGGCTCCGGGCTCCCCTGCGCGCCGGCCCGGGCGGCGAGGGGCGCACTGCGCGGGCTCCCCGGGAAGTGGCGCGCAGGCAGGGCTCCCGGAAGCGCTCTGGGGACCCGGCGCCGCCCTCCTCCGAGCTGCAGGCTCCGAGTCTCGACCCTAGAAGGCGCTAGGTCACCGCGAGGCCTGGACAGGCACGGTGTCCCCTCGGCAGGGAGCCGGATGGACAGCTGAACCCCGACTTTGTCCTAGGTGAGGAAGTACGACAAACATCTTTAGTTCATTCATTTCGTCCTCTCTCACACCTTGCAAGCGAACTGTCCTTGTTCCTGTTTTTATTCGATTGAGAAAAGTAAGACGGAGTGGGGTGAAACTCCTTACCCTAAGGACTCACACCCTGAGTGGTGGAACAGAGGTGGCCGGGTGTGGCTGTGGTTGTGCTCCGCTGGGCGGTGACTCCAAATGGGCACTTGGCGAAGAGTTCTTCAGGACGCAAACGAAAAGTACAAAGTGGTGGCCCAATGGCGTGGCCTAGCGGCTAAAGTCCTCGCCTTGAACGCGCCCAGGATCCCATATGGTCGCCGGTTCTAATCCCGGCAGCTCCACTTCCCATCCAGTTCCCTGCTTGTGGCCTGGGAAAGCAGTCGAGGATGGCCCAAAGCTTTGGGACCCTGCACCTGCGTGGGAGACCCGGAAGAGGCTCCTGGCTCCTGGCTTTGGATCGGCATAGCATCAGCCATTGCTCTCACTTGGGGAATGAATCATCGGACAGAAGGTCTTCCTCTGTCTCTCCTCCTCTGTATATCTGACTTGCCAATAAATAAATAAATCTTAAAAAGAAAGAAAGTACAAAATGGGCACAAGTCTAGGACCTGAATTCCACACATGAGATTGGCTCCTGTGGCTGCCAGGTCCTAGCATGCTGGAGAAGTCAGCTGACCACATTTCCCTCGCTAGTGTGGCCAGAGAACAGTGGATCTTGCTATGTCCTGAGGCCTGCCATTGGGCAAACACAGTTCTCACGCAGTGTTCTGGCAGTGATGGTGGCTGAGGGTAGTTTAACTGGACCAACCCTGCCCCTCACACAGTTTCATGGTTCCTGGAGGAAACCCTCAGGGTGTCCACAGGATTTCTGGACAGTTCTCCCACTTGCTGGTGCATTCTCAAAAGGCTGGGCTGAAGCCAGGAATCAGGCCCTCAGTGCATGTCAGTGCTGTGGGCAGCAGAGATCTGATTACTTGAATCATCACCACTGCCTCCAAGGGTGCACATTAGCAGGAAGCTGGAATTGGGGTTGGAGCTGGAGCTGGGACTTGAACCAGGTGCTCTGGGTATGGGATGCAGCCTATGGCAATGCCTCCGACCCCATGTGTCCTTAATACATGCAGTGTTTTTGGTCTTAAGGAGAGAAACTTCTGTGTGAGTAGCGCAGGCCCCTCTGACCTCACCTTGGTTGTGTCCACACGGAAGGGAAGCTGCATGGCTGCCAGCACTCTGAACACCTGACAAGGTTCATGGGCTGTTGGTTTGGCCTGACCATCCCTACCCTCGGGCCCCTGGCAGGCTCCTTCAGGCCCTTCAGCACTGCTTCCCAGGGTCTCTTCCTCTTCGACTCATGTCTTTAACCCTCTGTGCCACAGTGCTGGCCCCTCAGCTTCCTTTTAAAAATATATGTTTTTTTTTTTTCTATGTATTTGAAAGTCAAAGTTGCAGAGAAAGGGGGAAAGATAAAGAAATCTTCTCTCTGCTGATTCACTTCCCAAATGGCCACAGCAATTGGAACTGGGCTAGTTGGAAGCCAGGAGTCAGGAGCCCCCTCTGGGTCTCTGTCGTGGGTGTAGGGGCCCTGGCTTTTGGGCCATCCTCTGCTGCTTTCCAAAGGCACATTAACAGGGAGCTGGATCACAAGCGGAGTAGCCAGGACTCCAATCGGAGCCAACATGGGATTCGAGGGCTGCAGCCAGCCGTTTTACCTACCGCACAACAGTGCCAGTGCCACCCACTCACCTGTTTAGTCCTCCACTTGGCACTCTGACCAGAGGCTCAGCTCCCCTGACCTGCTGTCTCTATCCCCACTCAACTTCCCCCTTCCTGTAGCTGCTCTCGCTGAGGTCACTGCCGACCCACACTTGCTGCTGAATCCAGAAGGCATTCTGTACCACTGACCACTTCCTCCTTAGCGTAAGCCTCACTCTGGCTTTTCTTCTGCTTGTCTGGGCACCTCTTCAGCATCCTCTTTCACCTGTCACATGTCAGTAGCGTCCCTCTAGCTTCCTTGCATAGCTTCCTGTTTTTCTTTCTTCCTGAAGTGATGCCATGCTGCTGCACAATGTCTCTTGTCCACAGCTCAGACTGTGCCCCTAGGGCCATGCCAATGACCCCAGTGTCTTGTAAGGAAGGTCCCTGAACACTGACTGCCCAGATGCCCCTCATGCAGCACGCCCAGAATCGCCCCCTTGGTTTTGGCCCCTCCTGTGCTGCCTGCCTGTACATCTCAGAGAGCCATTGCTCCGTCTAGTTGCCCAGGCAGAAGCCTTAGTTCTTCTTTCACCCTAGTTCTTGTTGCTGCTACTGCCACCTCTTGGACCCTCAGTTTCTCACTGTGCTGGCCCATGCTGGCTCTGCCAGCTGGATAGCAGCAGGGCCCTCTCTCTGGGATCCTTGTCCCCTGCTCTGACGTCCCAGCCCATTTGCCACAGGCTTCCTTAAAGGAAAACCTGATTGGGGTCACTATCTTATTCAAAACTTGACAGTTGGAGGGGGGGGTGATGTTTGGCCTGGCAGTTAGCATACCTGCATGCCGTTATCATTGACTAAGTCCCAGTTCCTGCAAACCCTGAGAGGCAGTGTGATGGCCTAAGTATCTGGCTTCCTGCCACCCTTGAGGGAGACAGGTAGAATCCTACAGTGGTACCTGCCCATTAATACAATTCACTATTTTTCCCCCTAAATAAATCACCACCTCCACAAAGAGGATATGTCTTTTTATTTATAGTAGGCTAAAGACACTGCCTGTGGTACTGGCTTCTGTCTTGACTTCTCTACTTCCTATGGGCTGGGACAGCATTGCAGATTGGCTCAAGTGCTTGGGTCCTTGCACCTGTGTGGGGAACCCAGAAGAAGCTCCTGGCTTTGGTCTGGCCCACTCCGGGTTGCTGTTGCCATTTGGGCAGTGAACTAGCAGATGGAAGATCATGCTCTGTCTCTTAACTCTGCCTTTCAAATAAAAAAGTTTTAAAATTTAGTTTGAAAGGCAGAGCTACAGAAAGAAAGAAATGGATTTTCCTTCCTTCTGGTTCACTCTCCATAGTGAATGGTCTCAGAAGCCAGGAGCGTTTTCTAGGTCTCCTGCATGGGTGCAGGGGCCTAAACACTTGGGCCATCTTCCACTGCCTTCCCAGGCTATTCACGGGGAGCTGGATTGGAAATAGAGCATCTGGGACTCGAACCTGCCACAGGTGGAGGCTTAGCCTCCTAATGCCACAGTACTGGCCTCCCAATTCAAGCTCTTTAGCATGGGTCTTCAGCCTTTGGTCCCTCTTCTTTAGTTCTGTTTTGGGCTGTTAGGTTAGAAGATAACAGCTAGTGTGATATATTTAGAGGCAGGGTCTCCTGGAAGGCTCCACTTTGGTGGAGTGCCCATGTAGAGGCTGGAGGGAGCTGCCTCCCTGTTAGCCCTGTGATGAGGCAATGAAGCAGTACCATCCTGAGCAGAGAGCAAGCCCTTCCTGGACTCCCTGGCCCTTTAGGCCAAGCAGTACACCTCCAGCACTGATCACAAAGCCCGTCTCTGGCACTTTGTTCTCGGAGCCCAAATGGCTAAGACAAGTCCCCAGAGTCTAGTTAGATCTTGCCTTTGTTGAAGGGGATCTTCATAAAGTTCATGGAAAATGCATTTTAGAAAAAAAACTATGCATGGCTTTCAAAGTTTCTGGCACTGAAAAATACTTTATTTTATTATTTTTTAATTATTATTATTATTTTTATAATTTTGAATAGGCTGGGATTCATCCCCTCAAACTCCCACCCCCCCGTCAGATTCTTCCCATATTGTTACAACAGTGTAGGCCTTCATAAGGAGTCATAATTTCATCAGTGCCTTTTTTTTAAGGGGTATATTTCTTTTTCTTTTCTTTTTTGCAATCAGCCACTCATGAATTGTTGATTAATAGGTTACATCACAAGATCTTATTGCATATAGTACAGATGGCTTGGAAGTGCAATAAGATACAATTTACAGGTACAATTTTTATGTTTGATATTGTATTATGGTTCATCTACTCTATGGAATACTATTCGGCTTTAAAAAAAAAAAAGACTTTAAGTTCCATATTTCACAAGGCTTATGACGTCTCCTTGTGTATGATTTTCCCTCCACTTGGACCCTCCCTATACCCCCTCTTGCAGCTGCAATGCTAATCTGTTCATTCTTTTATAAATTCAGCTCAGAGGTCAACTCCTTCCCTGGGAAGCTTCATGGATGAACTCCATTCAGGCCTGACTCCACTCTGTGAGCTGGAAGGGGCGTCTGTGTTGCCTGCTTATTCTAGCACGGCAGAGGTGACCCTGTGTGAATGGGGCATGGGAGGTGGGTGGAGAGCAGAGATATGAAAATTCCAGTGAAGACCTTGCATCTTGGTGCACTCCAACTGGCCAGTAGATGGATGCGTCCACCACCTCTACAAGCACACTCCTTGCAGGGACTTGGAGCCAGGAGGCAACAGCATGCAAATGAGACTCCAGCTGGGGTCTCAGAAAGCTCCATGGAAGGGGGGAAGGAGGAAGGGGAGGCAGCAGCTGCTACAGTGAGAAACAGAAGGGGCAGAGACTATGGAAAAGATTTAATCACATTTATTGAGTGATGCCAAAAAAGACTCAAGTCAGTCAGTCTGGGCCAAGCTGCTGCTGGGCCTGGGCTCCTCCCAGCCCTGCCAAGAGGGCCAGAGGGAGTGTTTCTGGCCTAGTACCATGAAGCAGCCAGGCCTGGGCAGACTCCTCAGGATTACAGCCTGGTGGCCTTCATCAGTGGGACTAGCCGGGGCTACAGATCAGTACGTTCAGCTACTGCTGGCCTGGACTTCAGCGCTTGTGCCCAACCACCTGCTTAGCCAATACAGGGGCAGAATGTCCTGTCCAGTGGGAGCAAGGCTGAGGCCCTGGTCCAGGGCTGGGAAGGATGTGGGCAGTTCAGAGGACTGTGACCAGGGTGCTGGCCTTGCCCATATGAGCTCAGAAAATATTCTGCTCCAGAACCTTCTCTCCCAGGTGAAAGCGGGTGAAGAGGAAGGGGCTCAAGTCGATGGTCCGGAAGTGGCCCTCCAGCACCATCTCGGCCACGGCTCGCCCCACAGCAGGGGCATGCTGCAGCCCATGGCCACTGAAGCCTGTAGCAAAGTACATGTTGACCACCAAGGGGTGGGGGCCTACCACGCCGTTCTGGTCGAAGGTGTTGTAGTCGTAGTAGCCAGCCCAGGCACTCCGAACCTGTGGGTGTACAAGATGCTAGAGTCCTAGGGAAGGTGCCTGGCTTGCTCAGCTCTATCTTGGTCATGGATCAGTTCAGAGTACCCTCTACCAGTGGCTAGGGGCCCATGGGATGGGATGGGGTGAGCCTATGAGATTTCTTAGCAGCTGTGAGGTTGGGGGGGGATATGGCAGTGTCCTTGGTGCAAAAGCATCTGCTGCTAGTTACCTTCAGATTCTCAAAAGTTGGTACCCTCTGAGCCAGATGGGGCCATACTCTGTCCTGAAAGAAGTCATGGTCCACTTCCAGGTTGCCTGGGTCTGGCTCTTCCTCCTGGAGTGAGAGGTGGAGACAAGGGTTATATTGCTCTGGAGCCAAGAAGAGATCCAGATCTCACTGAACCCTGTCAATCCCCTTAGCAGGAGGCGGGGGAGAAAGGATGTCAGTTCAAACATGGAAGGGGTACACCACCCACTCACAACAGTGTAAGGATCCCCACTCCACCCTGGACGCCAGACTCTCTACTAGCAGATAGCCTGTGTCTTGTTCCTGGCACCCCTAGCCCACATGGCTCACCTCCGAGGGGCTACGGCCACCAAGGTAGTTGTGGCCTAGGCCTTCCCGCCGGAAGTAGACTCCATTGGTGTCTGCAACAAGCGGAGTCTCCAGGCCTGGTCCCTGGGGGCAGTGCCATAAATACACATACCTGCCACGACCACAGGTTAGGGCATCACAAGACTAGCACAGCCAGCGGAACACACATGACCAACTTCCATGGTGCTTCTTTCCTCCTCTCACCGACCTCCTCACTGTCCCGAGGGGTGCTACCTTTTCCTGGGTTCCACAGGTAGCTTGGTGCCCTGCAGGGTGCCGGGTGGCCCATCCCCAATCCCAGCCAGCTCTGCGATCTGTCCAGACCAGGCTCCTGCCGCATTGATCACTATGGCGCACTCCACAGGCTGGTACTCCAGGCTGTGGTCCATCTTCACCTGCAGGTGCCACAAGACCACAGTGAGGACACTCCTCTCTGTCCTTGGTCCCTCACTCCCGAAGGAAGATGCCTGCACTGGGAACTTACATGGACTTCGTGGATCCTTCTCAGGATCATCTCTTCCCCACTTGTGGTCTCCATGCGGTTGGAGGAAGAGACAAAACCTGCAGGGAAGAAAACAAAAACAAAAGTTTTTAAAAATTTATTTTTATTGGGAGGGCAGATTTACAGAGAAAAGGAGAGACAGACAAAAAGAGCTTCCATCTGCTAGTTCACTCCCCAAATGGCCCCACTGGCTAGAGCTGAGCTGACCCAGAGCCAGGAGCCTGGAGTTTCTTCCATGTCTCCCACATGCATACAGGGTCCCAAGGTTTTGGGCCATCCTTGACCGCTTTCCCAGGCCACAAGCAGGGAGCTGGATGGGAAGCGGGGCTGCCTGGATGAGATCCGGCACCCATATGGGATCCCAGCACGTTCAAGGCAAGGACATTAGACACCGGGCCCCAGGCCCCACAATTTTTAAAAACAACCTTGAGGCTTTGAAGAGGAAGGACATGGGGATTCTTTCTAGTTTCTCCAGGAGAGAAAGCTGGGATCCCAGGAGTTTTCCTCCTGACACTGAAGCAGGCAGAGATGAGGTAAGTGGGAAGAATCTGGCCCCAGCTGGGTCAGGACGGTGACGAAATTGTCCCATAGATCTGAAGTTACAGAGCAGTCCAGAACAAGCCGTTCCCCAACCAACCTTGCTTAGCCCCACCCTGGGGTCCTGCCCAGGCTAACAAGGGGCATCAGACTCACGTGTCACCTCGCCCTGGCAGAACAGGACACCCATGGACTGGGCTTTCCGCCGGAGGCCCTGCAGCAGGGACCAGGGGTCAAACCAACCTTCATCTTCCATCCCTGAGAAAGAATTCTGGATAAGAAACTAGGCCCGGCTTTCCTCGGCCCTGTTTTCTCTGCCCATCCCCCCTGCTCTTCCCTGGAGCTTATAAGGAAGGTAAACTTAAGCGATGACTGCCTAGCTGGCAGTCAAGAGCAGAGAACAACTGAAGAACAAAGAACCAGCAGGGTTGGCCAGGCCCTCCTGCTTGTAGCTTGGCTGGTGGGTGCCAAGCCCGCCAACACCCAGCCCACCTGGCAAGCAAGCCTCACCATATGATGCCAAAGCCACTCCCTCTGTGTTTATCCAAGGAAACTTGTTCCGAAGCTGCTCAGGTGACATCAGACAAATTTTGGCTCCTTCCTGCCTGCGGGAGATGTGTGGGCCTGGGTTGATGAGTCAGAGACGGCCAAGTGTGCGGACGGGATGTGGAGACATGGACAGGCCACCATTGCACAGGAGGGCACCGAGCTCATTCCCATCGCCTTTCTGCCCTACACGCCCCGAGGCTGCCTCACTGCCGAGGGGGCAAGGACCACCCAGCCTCCAGGGAACAGCCCTCCTCCTTTCCTTCTCGACACACTGTCTCTATACCCCGGCCCATCTGCCCCATATCAAGTTGTGCATGGTGAGTGACTGCGAGTGACTCCTCTGCCCAGAATGGCTTAGAAGCCAGGACCACCTGAATCCCGCTGTCACCAGTTAGTAGCCGCTATGTCTCACTTTCCCCACTTACAATGAGTTAAGATCTGTATCCCACAGATGTTACCAGCAGGACTTGGAGCATATTTGTGAAAGGAACAGAAAAAAAAAAAAACCTCCTGCCATAACATAACCACAGATGCCCACTCCTGATGGGTCACAAGGCACTTTAGGGCAGGGACTGCCACTACTGACTTGCTGCCTTCTTGTGGACAACCCACACGGCCAGCAAAGCCTAAAATACTGGCTGTTGGGTCCTTTACAGGGGAAGCATGTTGACCTGTGACCTAGGCTCTGCATATGATCCGTCTGACTGGGTACATGCAGGAACATATGGCTATGTTTAGGCCATATCTGCCACAGCTCTCGGGCTGGAGTATGGAAGGTCTTACGCACTGCCTTTCCTGACAGACTGAGCTGTTCTAGAGCAGGGGCCTGTCCCATCAACTCTTGCCCTCCCAGGTCCTGACGTGGTGCTGAGTCAAGCAGCCATTCCAGAGCCCGTGCTGGGTACCCACCTCTGCACTTTCACGTTGTTTTCTAAGGTGGAAGCGCCCTTGTCAGAAGCCAGCAGAAGATAGCCCGAGGGGTTGAACTGGAGGTCCAGGGGCGGGGCATCCACCACAGCCAGGTAGTCCTGTGTGCAAAGGAAAGCTGCTCAAAGAGGCCATCCCAAAGAAGAGAGAGACCCCTTACCCTCATCTACAGCATCTGAGCTCTGTCCCAGCCAGAGGAACCTTCCTCCAGGCACCACCCCTGGGAAAACAGACTCCCAGTGCCCCTGTTGCCTGAACAGGCTGAAGCAGGGGTCAGCACCCAACCTCTCAAAACTTACTGCCACGCACATTGATGTTGCGAAGAAAGTTGATGGAGAAGAGGGAGAGCTGGACGTTCTCGGGCAAGGAGAACTGCTGCCGAATCCCGCCCACGGAGAGCCCTGTGGAGGCCCGTGAATACTGGGGAAAGACGAGACAAGTTCAGGTGCAGCCCGCCTCGTGCGATCCGAATGCTGGCAGCGACGCTGGCAGTCATAAGCTGAGTCCTGATGGTGGCTCTAGGAGAGGTGTCAGGGTCCCGCGGATAGTGCTACTTGACATCAATACTAGTAAACCTGCAGGGCAGACAGGACGAGCCACCTCCAAAGGTCCACTTGTTAGAAAGGGACCACAGAAGTATGACTCAAGGCCGGCTGGCAATGGCTAACAGAAGCAACTAATACGTGGAAACCCACAAGTCACGGGGCCTAAAAGAAGACCAAGACAGCTGCTTGCATTACTAGTTTGAGGACCAGGCATGGTAGCCTAGCAGCTAAAGGCTTTGTCTTGCACGCACCAAGATCCCATATGGTTGCTGATTCTAATCCCGACAGCCCTGCTTCCCATCCGGCTCCCTGCTTGTGGTCTGGGAAAGCAGTTTAGGAATGGTCCAAAGCTTTGGGACCCTGCAACCACATGGGAGACCCGGGAGAGGCTCCTGGTTCCTGGCTTCAGACTGGCTCAGCTCCAGCCGTTGTGACCACTTGGGGAGTGAATCATTGGACGGAAGATCTTCCTCTCTGTCTGTCCTCCTCTCTGCATATCTGAATTTCCAATAAAAATAGAATAAACTGAAAACAATTATTAGTTTGAATGTGGGATCTCATGGCTAGAGCTTTGAGGCCTCCAAAGACCCAATCCTGCAGAATCTGCTTTCAGAAGCAAAAGCTTGATTGCCAGGGCCTCTGCTTTAAGCTGTTAAGGACCAGGGACTATTCAAGGGTCAAGGCACAGCTCTGGGTCTCCCTTCTCCCCCAACCCTCATCCCCAGAGCCCTTCATAAAGCATGGGTCACCTTCCTTGCCTCACTCGTGACTCCATGCCGCCCCAGACCTCACCGTGTGGTCGCGTTCCACCACCAGCACCCGGATGGCACCTTGGGGTCTCTCCAGCTTCTTCAGCCAAAAGGCCACAGACAGGCCGAGCACCCCACCTCCCACGATCACCACGTCCGCGTGCTCGGGGGGCAGGTGGCTGGTGTTATACAGTACATTACAGGCCTCTCCAGGCAGCGCTGATCTGATCTTCTTCTTAAACTCCGACAGCTTCTCGTCCCAGTCTGTGGGACACGTTTATGGTCAGATGACCCGCCTTGCCCTTTCCATATGGTGAGGGGCTGGGGGTACACAGACATTCGAGTTGGCAGTCCTTGCTGTCATGCCTTCCCATAGGGATCCACTTGCACTCAGAAGTGCGTGCCATGTGGTTTATAACAAGCCATCAGTTTCCTCTGCCTGCATCCAGCCCCATACTGCAAGCCTCGCCAATCTGGAGTCAACACTTTCCACTCTCCGAGTTAGACACTACACATGCATTTTGCAGAGCTCTCTCTACCTTGGCAACATCTCCACTAGCCCGTCCCCCGCCCTGCTCCTCCACCAGGCATCCAAGGATGGGGCAAGCTGCAGCCGCCCAGTCCTGGCTATCCACTACCAGCATCGAGTTGACATTTACGTGGTGTTTGTCACTTGAGAGGGGACTGTCTTGGGATCCACACGCCTTCCCAGGCCCTACAGGCTCTGGCAGGCGGCCTGTCACCCTGCGCACAGCGGACAGGAGGTCCTGCCAGCATGGACTGGGCTCCCGTATCATAAAGGTCACAGGGGCGGAGTTGGGGCGTCCGGAGCCACTTTACCTTGAGCGGAGCCTCCTCTGCGCGTGCCCAGGCGCCGAATCCCAGGGCCCCGGCCCAGCCCCAGCTGCAGCACCCTCCGGAGCATGGCTGCTGCAAAGCCGCACTAAAGCCGCACTCCCGGGAGCTGCGGCTTCGCGCCCAGGGCTGCCCAGAACATCGCAGAGCAGCGCACCCATTGGCCAGCGGCCTCGCCGGGGCCCGCCCCTCCATGCCATTCCCTCCAAGCCATCCCCTCCTGACCGTCGCTGTAGCCCCGCCCAGACACGCCCCCAGCAGCTATTGGCCGGCCTGGCAGTTACGTAGGCCCTGCGCGCCCAGGGGCGGAGCCCGGCTCCGAGCGGAAGTGCGGAGGGCCGGTTTCCGGGCCTCTGGTGTGACGTGTCCCGCGCCTGGCGCAGCAGGAAGCGGCGGTGTTCGCGGCCCGAGTTCCCGACGCCGGCCCCGGCTGCCTGCCCGTCGCCGCCATGCTCGACTTCTTCACTATCTTCTCCAAGGGCGGGCTTGTGCTCTGGTGCTTCCAGGGCGTGAGCGACTCATGCACCGGACCCGTGAACGCGCTGATTCGCTCGGTCCTGCTGCAGGTACCGCCCCCGCGGGATCAGAACTCCCGCTCTTCCCTCCCCGACCCCCGGTCAAGTCCCTGTCACCCGATCCCCTTTCGGCTGGTCGTCCGTGCCCGACAGAGGCCGTCCTCTGTCCCGGAACGGCGACTTGGTTTCTGCCCTCCGTGGGCCGCCCCGCAACTTTACGACCCTTCTGTCCGCCCTGGTGTCTGTGGCTGAAGCCGCATCCTGGGCCTTTTGGGGCTTCCTTCCCTCCCTGAGCGCCCCACCGCTCACCCCTGCCCCAGCAGCCTGGCTGTGTTAGGTGGAAGCTGGGGGAGCTTATGGCCGGGACGACATCTGGAGAAACAGTACTCCTGCTGCCAGTACTCCTGGCTGCTTATGTGTCCGCTTCGCTGCCCAGAGGCCTGGCTGTTTCTGTCCACTTCGCTGCCCAGAGATCTGGCTGTTTATGTGTCCACTTGACTTTTGGCTCCCACGTGTCGTGTGGTCCTCATCTTGCTCCCTCCCAGCCTGCTGTCTCCGTTTGTCCCTGGTTAAATGCTGGCGGGAGGTGCCCTGGTCCACCGAGTGCCTGAACCCCAAGGCTACTCCTCTTTTTTCCCCCCCAGGAACGGGGAGGTAACAATTCCTTCACCCATGAGGCACTCACTCTGAAGTATAAACTGGACAACCAGTTTGAGCTGGTGTTTGTGGTAAGTCGGGGGGGGGGGGGAGCAGATGGTGTTTTGTGAAGAATGATTACATTCTGAGTGTAGTTCTGGTTATTAAGAGAATCTTGGTGAACTGCACACGGGGTAAATGATGAAGTTGTTGAGAAAATTAGCACGGTGGAGAGGATCATGGAGGCAGCTCCTGGGCACAGGCAGCGCTTGGCCACCTGTCAGCTAGGGAAACCTGCCAGGTGCCCGAGCCTGCCTCTGGAGGCCTGGGCTGGCGTGTAAGCAGATCTCTTGGCTCTGTGTGTTTCCCAAAACAGGTTGGTTTTCAGAAGATCCTAACACTGACGTATGTAGACAAACTGATTGATGATGTGCACCGGCTTTTCCGAGACAAGTACCGCACGGAGATCCAGCAGCACAGTGCCCTGAGTCTACTAAATGGCACCTTTGATTTCCAGAATGACTTTCTGCGGCTCCTTCGGTGAGAGGCTTCCTCCTCCAAATCAATTGCTTTGCCCTGCCTCAATGAGCTCCCCCCTTGAAGGTGCTTCAAGGATAGAAAACTGTGTGTTCAAAGACACTGCTTGCTTGCCGCCCGGTTCTGTCCGTGCTCTTGGTGGGAGGGTCCTCTGGACTTCCACTGAGCTCTGCACAGGGCAGAGATACCAGCCATGCCTTTTGTTCTTTAGGGAAGCGGAGGAGAGCAGTAAGATCCGCGTTCCTGCTACCATGAAGAAATTTGAAGATTCTGAAAAGGCCAAAAAACCTGTGAGATCCATGATTGAGACACGGGGGGAGAAGCCCAAAGAGAAAGCAAAGAACAACAAAAAAAAGGGGACCAAAAAGGAAGGTGAGTTAGCACCTGACCCGTGGAGGTGGTCTGTCCTGTGGTCGAGGCTGGCCACTTCAGTCACCATGTTACCATTCCTCAGGTCATATGGTCCACATTTGTTCAGCTGAAGGATTGGGAAGGCCTTGCCCATTGTCCAGTTGCTTGGGGACTGGATTTCTCTCCAATGAGATTTCTCTTGAACAGGTTCTGATGGCCCTTTGACCACCAATAAAGCAGTTCCAGCAGACAAGTCGGGTCTCCCAGTGGGGCCAGAGAATGGAGCGGAACTTTCCAAAGAGGAACTGATACGCAGGAAGCGAGAGGAGTTCATCCAGAAGCACGGGAGGGGTATGGAGAAGTCAAGGTGAGTGTTCTAGTTTCCTCTGGTACTCTTCCAAAGCTGTAATTGAGGCATGGTGGGGGCAAGGCACCTCATCTCTGACTCATGTATCCTTTTCCCTTTTCCACGTAACCATCTGTAGCAAGTCCAAGTCAGATGCTCCGAAGGAGAAGGGCAAAAAGGCACCCCGGGTGTGGGAACTTGGTGGCTGTGCTAACAAGGAAGTCCTGGATTACAGTACTCCTACCACCAACGGAACCCCTGAGGCTGCCCCCCTGTCTGAGGACATCAACTTGGTAAGAGGCAACAGGTATCTTGAGTTACTATAAGCAAGAATTGGGAAGGATGCAGAGGCTAGTAAAGGGATACAGAGCTAGAGCGGAAGCCTGCCCCCACTGTGGACACAGCCCCTGTGAATCTGGGACTCCTTCCTCTCAGAACCCTGTGGTGTTCCTGATCCCCTCTCAGAACCCTGTAGTGTTCCTGATCCCCTCTCAAGCCTTTCCCCATGTCCTCCAGATTCGAGGGACTGGGCCTGGGGGGCAGCTTCAGGATCTGGACTGCAGCAGCTCGGATGATGAAGGGGCCGCTCAGAACTCCACCAAACCGAGGTAGGGCGATTTCAGGTGGGAGTGGTGTGTACCACTGCAGAGCTGGCAAGCTGTAACTTCTGCCTGCTGGCTTTGTGTGTATTTGTGATCTGTGCCTGCAGTGCTACCAAGGGGACTCTGGGTGGCATGTTTGGGATGCTGAAGGGCCTTGTGGGTTCCAAGAGCTTGAGTCGCGAAGACATGGAATCTGTGCTGGACAAGATGCGTGACCATCTTATTGGTAAGCGCTGAGAACTGGGCTGCTCATGTTCTTGGGGTGGACTGGTTTCAAACAGCACCTACAGTTTTCTCAGCTGTACCATCAAGATGCTGAGATAAAACTTACACAGCCTTTCCCCTTCTCTCAGCTAAGAATGTGGCTGCAGACATTGCTGTCCAGCTCTGTGAATCTGTTGCCAACAAGCTGGAAGGGAAGGTGATGGGAACATTCAGCAGTAAGTACTCCATAAGCCAGAACATGCTTCCATGTAACAGGCAGTACAGCAGCCCTCCATCTTATAGGTACATGACAGCTGGCACATGTCCTTGACTTCTAAACCTCTAATAGAACCTTAAAGAATTATGAGGGTAAAATACTTGTGCTCAGTACAGTATCGTTTGGATTCCTGTGGTAGCACCATCCCAGCCTCTCAGATCAAGAGTTGGATATTTTGGGTATGTTTCTGGGGACTCATGGCTGTGCCTTCCTCCACCTGTGCTTTCAGCGGTGACTTCCACAGTAAAGCAAGCATTGCAGGAGTCCCTGGTGCAGATTCTGCAGCCACAGCGCCGTGTGGACATGCTGAGGGATATCATGGATGCCCAGCGTCGCCAGCGCCCTTATGTTGTGACTTTCTGTGGTGTGAATGGAGTGGGGAAGTCTACCAATCTTGCCAAGGTCAGTGTGGTTCTCCAGTCTGATGCTGATGTTTTTTACTATTGTTTTAAAACCCTTGCTCTAGATAACATTTTTCTGAACTCTTTTGCAGATTTCTTTCTGGCTATTAGAAAATGGCTTCAGTGTGCTTATAGCTGCCTGTGACACATTTCGTGCTGGGGCTGTAGAGCAGCTGCGTACACATACTCGGCGTCTGAGTGCCCTACATCCCCCGGAGAAGCATGGTGGTCGCACTATGGTGCAGTTGTTTGAAAAGGGTTATGGCAAGGACGCTGCTGGCATTGCCATGGAGGCCATTGCCTTTGGTATATATAGTGCATGGGAAACATCGGGGGGCCCCTTGTCCTTCCTTGGTTTCCTCGGAATTTGCAAAGAGGATCAGGCTTACCCTGTTACAAAGTCACTGCTCAAAAACAGGATAAAGGATTAATTGCCATGCTCTGCTTTTTGGTAGTTAATATATGTATTATATCCTAACCAAAGAAATTAGATTTGGGTCAGCTTTACCTTGTTCTTTACTTGTTCCCAAATAAGCCTGGTAGTAATAGGCACCAAGTGGCCTTTTTTTCCTTCCTATTACCTTATAATCAAATCCATAATCCAAGAAATGAATGGGCTGTGAATATGGTTAGATCCAAACTTGTTGAGAAGTGACAGGAAGCTAGCCTTGTCAGTGCAGGTGCTTGGAGTTGACCACTTTCTCTCTCTCTCTAGCACGTAACCAAGGCTTTGATGTGGTGCTGGTGGACACGGCTGGCCGCATGCAAGACAATGCCCCTCTGATGACTGCCCTGGCCAAACTCATAACTGTCAATACACCTGACCTGGTGCTGTTTGTGGGGGAGGCCTTAGTAGGCAATGAAGCCGTGGACCAGCTGGTGAGGGCTTGGCCTAGTTCCCTTTACACCTTGAGCTGGGGACCAGCTGCATGGTTCTACATCATCTTTTTTATTTCCAGGTGAAGTTTAACAGAGCTTTGGCTGACCATTCAATGGCTCAAACACCTCGGCTAATTGATGGCATTGTCCTCACCAAATTTGACACCATTGACGACAAGGTAAATGTGGAAGGCCCAGAACTGTGGGACTGGAGAGGGGTGGGCATCCTTCAAGAGAGCAGAGACAGGATACATTGACTCTGAAGGAGTGAAAACAGGCCTGAACTGATTGGCTGCCCTTTTCTCTACTCCAGGTTGGAGCTGCTATTTCTATGACGTACATCACAAGTAAACCCATCGTCTTTGTGGGCACTGGCCAGACCTACTGTGACCTACGCAGTCTCAACGCCAAGGCTGTGGTGGCTGCCCTCATGAAGGCTTAATATGGCTCTTGTTCAATACCAAATCGCCACTTTCCCCAAGCCCCTCATCCTGTGTCAAGAATGTGCTTTAGAGTATGTGAGCAACTTATCTTCAGTGTAGTACAAGGGCAGAGTAAGGGGACTTCCAGGGGCTTGCAGCTCCTTCTAACCCTATGCCTTGTCCAACCCAGCCTCCATCTGCTAGGAGGGCCTAATCATGTTACAATCACTGCCCACCGACTCCCCTGTCCTATTCAGGCAGCCCCCTTACACTCTGCTGACAGACTGTCTCACTACAGCTTTGACCAATGGTTGGAAGACCCAACATCAGAAACATTAGAACTTTGTTCCTCAGCGTGGTCATGGATCACCTGGGCCTAATGAGCAGGCTGCAGTGCTAGCACATTTAGGTTAGAGGCTTGTGGCAGCAGTGCTGGGTCTTGAAATGGTACCTCTTCCTAGGACACACAGGGTGACACCCACCTCACTATGGCAGTGTATGGCCTGTTTTTAATTGCTGCTAATTCTAATTCTGAAGACTCTTATCCCATTGTTGTCCCCAAAGCAACAGAGAGGCCACAGTGATTTCTTAAAATTAAATGGATAATGAGTCTCCACTTCCCTCAGAACTGAGAAACAAAGGGAGCCAAGCTGCAGTGTTGCCTTCCAACTGGATCCCACAACTAAGATCCAGGTGTAACCTTTGCATGTTCTTCCCAGGAAAAAAGCTGTCAGAGGCTATCAGTTGTTCCCTCCCCAGCTCCATCCTTCACCTCCTGACCAAGTCCTGGCTCTTTCCCATCCCTCTCCACAGTGCCTGGTAGACAAGTGCTACATTGAAGAATACAAACCTCTGTTAAGACCTGTCCTGTAGCTTGGTATTACAGATGTGCTATTAGTGCAATAAGGTAAAGGCTGTCTGCCCAGAGAAATACATAATTTATATAAGAAAATAAATTTCATAAATAAACTGCCTCTTAGGTCTTGGAATTATTTATACAGGGCTCAAAACTGAAATCCCATATCACACTGACTGGTTGTAGGGCTTATTTATGGTAGAAAGGCAGTAATGCTGAGGAAGCAAACAGCAAAAAACACGCCTACCCCACATTAAGCTGAAAGAACAGAACTGCCACATTGAGTTATAAAAAAAAAATCAAGCTTATTAGTATATCTTGATGCAAGCAGAGCCAGATCCCTGGCAAGTAAATGAACAAGCTTTTTTTTTTAATGTAAAATACTGTACACTGTAAAAGATCTAGAAAACTAGAGCTTCAAGTCATGTTTTAAAAAAGCCATTAAGCTTAATTGAAAAACCAAGTATGGAGTACAAAACTGCAACAAGAGCCATGAGGATGCCATGGCTTTTAGATGCCTCAAGTCCTTCATGCAGAGCTGCAGCCACGACCTGTGGAGGATCACACACTTCTGGGTGGACACGCGCATGGCCGGCCCATGGAGTGGGGCAGGGGTTTCATTTGGGTCCTGTTGTCACTTGGGTATTCTTGAACAGGCAGCAGAATGTCAAGAAACCAGCAGGTGTAAAGCATTAGGATTTAGAATGTTTCCTCCCCTATTCTACCCCCAACCTTCAACCTCCGTATTGGTACTTCTGGGAGCTTTGTTGGATTCTTGCAGATTTACTTGTTAAACACCGTCCATAGTAGGGTCTTACAGCTTGGTCTAGTAGTGGTAGTTTCTCTAGCTTGCTCATGTACTGCAGCCTGTGAAGAGAAGGAAAAGAAAAGGTAGAGAATGAAATTGTTTCCAAAAATGGGTTTAAGCTTTAGATACTCAAGTCAATCTTAACTCTTGAGGAGACAGGAGATTCTAGGATTCTTGACTGGTCACACTTTAATAGGTGGTGTAGGTAAAACATTATTGACTAAATTTCAGGCAGAGTCTGCAGGTAAGTAACTATTAGGATAGCATACCTCTTAGTTCACTGTGTACGGCGGAGGAGCCATTTAGCTGACCTTCTCTCACCATTCCTGCTGAAAAGTGGATGAAGATCACATTAGCTTGAAAGACCAAAGCCATCAACAGCAAAAGAAAACTACGTAAATGGAGTGCACATGGATGGGACCAAGGTTAGATTACCTAGATGAGTCCTCAGACTGTTCAATTAGCTGCTACAGCAGAAAGGTCTCTTAGTGCACTAACACTGCTTATGAGCAGAGTATGTCACACAGGCAAAGGGTATCTGCTATTCCTGGGTAGATCAGAAGCCAAGTGCAGGTGGAGAGCAGCGCCGAGCTGAGCAAACCCAACCATGCAGAAGATTGAAAAGCAGCAGACACTACTGTGCTACAAAATGGGCAAGATCTGCACTGAAGCCCATGGTCCTGCTAGCTCATGTGACTATCGGCTGTGGTGCTGCACACTGGGATTATGTTCTTGAACCTCTGAGAATACATGTCAAAGCTATTACCAATGGAAGAAAACACCTATGGATGAAGATGTGATTCATTGCAATGTTAATGGAAGAAAACTTAAGAAATTACCCAATGGGGTTAATTAGTTTTAGGATCCACACTAGAACACAACTCAAATAGTGATTACAGGGATTGTGACAATGTGGGAAAGTATATAATGTGCCACTAAATAAAAGTGCCCAAATTTTAAGTATACACTTTGTTTAAAACTGAGAAAATACATAAGGAAAATCTTCACACACAACTACTTATGTGGTAATGAACTGTGAGAGAAATCTTTTTTCTCATTGCTTTATTTCTCCTGAAATACCTGTGATTAAATCCTCCACAGTCTTTTAACAAGATTTTTACCATGTGAAATAGAGTACACACCAATTGCAAGGCACACAGCAGTGCTGAAAGATGAAGCACCAAGAAACCTTACTAGTTACTCAGACTCAAAACACAGCCCAGCATTGTAGATAAGCTGACATACCTCAAAATGAAAAAAATGTTTCAAAACTGCTCTGTCAGATTTTACATTGGAAACTTAACTGACCATTTTAATAAAGCTCCGGGGCCATCTTGATAATCCATCATTTAAAAAGTACAGAGCACTTTAATGACTGGTAGCTTGGGTAGGAAGCTTACATAGCACATAACAAAATGTATACATTTCTGTGACTTGGTTCAATAGAAACAGCTGTCCAGCAGGAATTTGCTATTGAAAATTTGTAAATGCTAGCATATTTCCCAAAGAATCTCAGAATAATAGATAAAATAATAGATGTAGAGTGTGGGTGTGGATCTCTTTAATGAAAGCAGAACATGAGCAATGGCAAAGCCTAATCCTGGTCACAGATGTGGAGAATGAAGGACCCAGGACTGTAAGATGCTAGATAAACTGATCCCAACAAAAACAGCCAATCGCCTTTATAAAAGAGACAAGCTTGGTTTGTCCACACCTTCTGGATATGAGGTAGATCTTGACTGCCACGGTTAGTTAGGAGACTAACTTTCGTTAAGAGTTTGTATAACTTCTTCATTACAAGAGAATTTCACCAGGAAATCATCTGAAAATCTGGGAGTAGTTAGGTTTAGGAAAACGGTGCTATAGATTAGCTGAACTTCAACAGGCCCCCCCAAAACAGTTGGATTGGCAGTGAAGCATTTATTAATATACTCTGTGTCAGCAGGCTTCTGTGGGGCCAGGTGGGTAAAAGAATGGTCATGCCTTTAGAACAGCTTTACTCCATGGGATGTTTTTAAAATCATGCATTGGTGCTAGCACTATAAACTTTCACATTTTTTAGTCCCTGGGAATCTGCCTGCAGTCAATAACAAGCCCAAAGTTCACTGTGATTTTCCCCTGTACTGCTTGTCTGGAGATAAATGCCAACCTCTGACTTTAATATATAGCATTAATATAGTAATGACTTACTTTTCAAGTAAGTTTAAAAGTTTTGTTTAAGTATATTACAAAAATTAAGCATTACTCCAGATATTTTCCACATACACACCTATAAAATACAGCTATGCCTTTCTATAAAAAGTTTATAAAATGTTCATGGGGAGTGTGTGTTAAGAAAAATTATGTGTGGATTTCAAAACCTTTTGGGTCAGAACAAATTATGTTTGAATGGGATTGACCATATGGTATTAACAGCTCACTTCTTTTTTTTTGGAAAGAACAATTTTCCATTTGCTGGTTCATTCCCTAGACAGCAGCAACAGCCGGAACTGAGCAGACCACAGCCGGGATTTAGGAGCTTTGTCAAGGTTTCCAAATGGGTACAAGGGTCCCAATGACTTGGGCCATCTTCCAAGGCTTTCCCAGGTGCATTAGCATTAGATCTGAAGTGGAGCAGCGAGGACAGGAACCAACACCCATATGGGATGCTAGCATTGCAGGTGGTAGCTTTTATGCTAAGCCATAATGCAGGCTTCTTCAGCTTACTTTTTTTCTTCACACGTGTTTGTGATTTGTTTATGGAAATGAAAGCATTTTCCCTTTGATGGTTTCATTATATTTCATCAGCAAGTAAACTGATGTCCACTAGGATTAACTGTATTCATGGAATCTCTTGGTCAAAGGTTTTCAAATTCTTGGCAGATATTCTAAAACCTATTCTCATAAAAATTACATTAACTTTATCTCCCCACCACTATACCACATGGCTGTTTCCTCCCAGCCTTAGTCAAAACTTAAGTAATCGGTCTTCTGTACTTTGACAGTATGGCTGTAGGTCTCAAAAGTTACTTGTTCATTCTCCCTGCTTCTATAACAGAACACTGGAAGGTATTTTTTTTTTTTTTGGCAGAATTTTGTTTTCCAAATGGCACTCTAGAGTAACGTGAAGGCTACCAACTTCCCACCCAACACAATCAGGGATGGCATTTCTCAACCTGGTAATGGCTTTACCCATCACACACAAAGCTGAGCAGCTGTCTCCCCTCCTGTCATCAATGCCTCTTACCTGATTTACCCCTCGTGGAGATTTCACATGTCAGTCGCTTGAAATATTCTGGAAGGTCGGCATAGTCATTTCCATAGGAGATGACTTTAATCCCTTTATCTAGCATATTTTCTCGAAGCTTCTTGAACTCATCAACATCTCCTCTCCTGACCAGCATGAAATGTTCGAGGTCCGATTTATGCTTGACAGCCTCCAGGAAAAGGGCCTGGAATGTGGTGTCATCCACAGTCCAGCCACAACCCAGGAAAAGAAATGACTTGTTTTCGTAGAGCTTCTGAATCTCTCTCTTGAAGGAAAAGAAAGAACTTATTAATGACATTATGAACATACACAGATGTGTCTGAAGTAGCAGGTTCATACTGACAGTGAGGACCAAGTTTTAAGAGCACAGATACGTTCTATGATGGAGCCTGAGCTCCTCTTACTACTCTAACTTGATAAGAGCTGGTCCATAGACTGTATCTTTCCTTGGCATTCCACTTGGGTGCAGGGTCCCAAGAGGCCATCCTTGACTGTTTTCCCAGGTCATAAGCAGGGAGCTTGTGGGGAAACAGAGCATTCAGGGCATAAACTGGCACCCACATGGGATCCCAGAGCATTCAAGGTGAGGATTTTAGCCACTGAGTCCGTGGCCCTGGGCCCAGGAGGGATTTTTTTTTTTTTTTTAATAAATTGTTACTGATGTAATGTCGGGGCTTTCAATTGATTAGGATATACTCTTTTCGGCTGACTTCAGACCAGAAACTGTCTCCCACGAAACTGTATGAGACTTATCAGCACAAAAGATGCTGGACATCTAGTGTTTTGTAGATGCTTTGCAAGAAAAAAAATCTCACTGAATTTGAATTCTGGGAAAAAAACGAGATGGAAGAATCCAACCATGGGGGGAGCGGGTTTTTGGGCAGGGAGGGGGGAATCCAAGTGCCTGTAAAACTGTGCCTCATGATGTCATGTAATTAAAAAAAATAGTAAATAATAATATAATAATAAGTAAAAAACACTTAACAAAAAATTTTGGCCCGGCCGGTGGCTCAAGTGGTTAAACGTCCTCGCCTTGCATCGGCCCGGATCCCATATGGGCGCCGGTTCCTAATCCCGCAGCCCCGCTTCCTTCCATGCTCCCGGCCTGTGCCTGGGAAAGCTGTCGAGGACAGCCCAATCTTGGGAACCTGCACCCCCCGCTTGGGCGCACCCGCAGAGGGCTCCTGGCTTCGGATCGGCAAAGTATCGCCCGTTGCCGCTCACTTGGGGAGTGAATCAACGGACGGAAGATCTTCCTCTCTGTCTCTCCTCTCTGTATATCCGCCTTTCCAATAAAAAAATAATAAAAATAAATCTTTAAAAAAAAAAAAAATTTTGGAATGGGGTTAGCTGATGGACCCAGGAATGGCAAAATGTGAGGGGAAAAGCATGGGAGAAAGCTCCTGAGGCTTTAGAAAGCACCATCTTTTCTTGCCCCCTTTTATTTTGTGCCATCATGTGTAGATCTGTGACCCAGTCCTGCTAAAAGCCAGTGCATAGGTCTCTGAGGGTTGGGGACCAGTGAATTCCCCTATATACCCGCTGGTGAGGAAGTGCTTCTGGCTGGAATACAGTAATTATCAACAAGTTCAAAACTTACATCCATCCCAAACTGAGTTTTCAAAAAGGAGGTAGCTTCCATCTCATCCCTCTGGCTGAATCCCTGCCCTCCATTTTTGTCCAGTGACCAGGTAATGTGAATTAGTGTGGCTAATTTAGTATAAGACTGCTGCTACTTCAACAGAAATCTGTTTACAATGTGCGCCGTCGGAGTGATTGGTTTGCAAAAAGCTGCCTAAATTATTTTTGGTGCACAGAGGGATATTAATAAACCAAGCGAAGGAGGAGGCTAGTAATATATTTCTTGCATGTGAAGATGCTGTCAGCAGTGGCGTGCCAGCAGCTTCTTCACAACTGAGCACAGATAAAGAGTCCATGGGTGACACCCACAGTGTGGCATGTCCTAGGGCAGTATGTGTGCCAAGGCCTCAGAAGCACATGCAACAATGTCCTCCCGTTTATGAACATGAGGAGAGCAAAGCCCCTGCAGGACCTGTGTACCTCCAGGGGGCCTCTCAGGCAGGATGGCAGCACTCACCATAACTTCAGTGTTCCTGAGCACGTTCTGATATCCAGCTGGATGAAGGACAATGCCACTGGGGTTGGTGTAGACGCCATGGATGTGTAACACGCTCAGCTTCCGCTTCTCCTGCGCCCACTCCAGGACCTGCACAACATACACACAGCTCATCCAACTGACAGGGAGAGCCCTGCTTCAGGTCACAGTGTCCCCACGAAGCTGTCTGAGGACAAGGCAGCTGACGTAACTTTCCTTTCTGCACAATCAGCCACGGCCTAAAGTTCCATTTCAGGTATGAGTGTCAGAAAAGCTGACAGCATTCCTGCTGATAGCTCTTTGAAAGCAATGATCAAAATATTAAAATTAACAAACTTTTCAGAAGTAACAGGGGCACTTCCATTGGTGGAATAAACAGGGAGCTAAAGATGGTTTTTTTAGGGATGGTCCCCAGAAATCATGCCTCCCTAAATCCAGGCCCCTGAACAGTCACTTGTCACAGGGTCTCCAGGCTGGTGGCCAATGGGGCACGAGTAAATGACCCAGCAGCAACTTCAGAAGTGCTGGTCTGATGAGCCTGCTATTGTTTCTGGAACCTAGCTGCCTAGTGAAGCCTAGGCCAGACTGCTGGAGACATGGCCCAGTCACCTGGCGTTGAGGAAGAGGGTATCTCCTAGCATACAGCCCCACTCTAGTCAGAAGATGAGTTCTGCTATGAGAGTGAGCCACGAAACCAGCAGGAGTGCCCAGTGGGTGGCTGAGCCAGCACCCATTGCCGATTCATTCTACCCAGGGAACATGAGGTATTTATTGTTCTAAGTCATGAAACTTCAGGGTGGTTTCCCATACAATAGGACAGCAACAGAAGAAGCACTTTAGTCATCTCTGAGGAACTCTGGAGCCATCTACGAGGCGCCATCACTTGGGTGGCAATTACAACAGCCACCTGCACATGAGTGTCTTCAAAAAGACTTGATTGTCATCATGTTATCACATTTTGGGAGACATGGATATGGATTAAGAAACAGCCCAGAGGCATGGAGATTTGGAATTGTATTACTACGCACCATTTCTACCACTCAATAGCTTCATTCATGAGACTTCAATATGTCTCATTGTTGCTAAAACCACAAAGCAAATCTCAAGGCTAAAGTCAAGACTGACAGAGCCCTCACCTGAAAAGGTCCCTGGCAGCTTCTGATGCCCACAACCACTTTGCTGTGATCTTTGGTGATATAAACTGCATGGAAGTTGCACAAGATACCAAGCTTTAAATTTAACTTCATTATTCACTAATTTAAAAATACTAAGCACCTACTACATGTCAGGTGCTGAGTCACAAGTCTGAAAGGCTGACATGGTCCAAATAAAGTTTTTAATCCTATGGAACAAATAAGTAAATAAATAAATAAATAAATAAATAAGTAAATAGAAGAAATAAATAGAAGAAACAGCCCAAGTAAAAACTGCAAGCTCCAAGGCCAGCATGGTGGCATAGCCAGCTAATCCTCTGTATGCAAGTGCTAGTGTCCCACGTGGGCACTGGTTTGTGTCCTGGCTGCTCTACTTCTGATCTTGCAGGCTGGGAAAGCAGCAGAGGACGACTTAGTTCTTGGGACCCTGAACCCATGTAGGAGACTCCTGGCTTCTGACTTCAGATTGGTTCAGCTCTGGCTGTTGTGACCATTTGGGGGGTGAACCAGCAATGGAAGACCTCTCCTTCTGTCGCTCTTTGTAAAATTTTCCTTTCAAAAAGGAATAAATCTTAAAATAACTACAAGTTACAACAAGTGCTCTGAAGGACATGGACAAAGGAATGGACTAAAAAATGAGTCTCAATTTAAACTCGATGGAACACGGGCTGAGTAATCAGTGAAGAAGCTGCTAGCCACACAAAGTTGACGGGGGAGGCATTACACACGCCTGCCAGAGAAAGCCAGCTTTCAAGGCACCACTTCTCTAATTTCCACTCCCTTTGAAAATCTGATTCTAGATCAGCAGAACCACCAGAGCCCCCTGCTGTGCCTGCCCCTTCTGTCTCTGGCAGAGGCAAGAGGAGCAATGAATGCCTGTGGCTGATCCCTTATCCCAGCTTGGCTCAGCTGGACTCCAAGTCCACCACAAAGGCACATTCCCAAGGAAAACAAAATAGGAAATGAAAATTACAAAACTGGAGAAGGACAAAAGAGGCCTTAAGCACTCAGATATGTCAGACTGAAATATTGAACTCAATATATGACAGACAGATGTGGGAAAGAAAAGAAAGTCGGCTCAAGTTTCCTGGTATATTAACCTCCACCTAGCAATGACCTGGCCTGGAAGTTCTTCCTCTAAAACAGCTACCGCCTATTTACAGTAGACACTGAATCCTGGGGCGAGAACTCTATTATAGCACCTATTAGAGACCTCCGCTTCAAATCACTTCCTCTATGCTGCTTTTCAAACTGGGCCAAAGAAACTGTCAGAGCTCAGAGTGAGACACTTTTCTAAACACCGAAAAACACTCAGGGCAAACAATCTTCCCTTTAAATGGCACATAATTACCAACATCTCAGATAGGAAAAGGCTCTCCTAATGAAGACACAAGCCTCTAGCCTATAGAAAATCTGACTACTCTGTACATTCTACCTTTTTCTCATCAGTAAGGTCGAGGGATTCAAGCTGTTTTCCTTGATCGGCTGCATACAGTTCCAGGAGATTATCAAAATTTGTAGTTAACACCAGGGCTCCATTTTCCATCAAGTGCAGAACTGACTGAAGAAGCTGTTTCCCAGAATCTTCCATCTTCGACTCCAGGTCGTCAAACACTTCATATAAACAGTCCTTGAAGAATGTAGATCGAACATTACTGGTACGCTGGGAGGGAAGTCAAAGAGGAAAATTAACTCCGTGGTATCTGGGCAGGTCATTTGTTTTCATTACATTTAAGATAGGGCTAAAATCCTCCCCCCCCCCCAATGTTTTGTTTATTTTATTGCAAAGGAAGATTTCTAGAGAGAAGGAGAAACCGAAAAATCTTCCATTCATTAGTCCATTTCCCACATGACAGCAACGGCCAGTGCGAAGCTATTCGAAGCCAGGAGCCAGGAGCTTCCTCCGGAGTCTCCCATGCAGATGTGGGGTCCCAAGGCTTTTGGCTGTCCTCGATTGCTTTCCCAGGCCACAAGCAGGGAGCTGGATGGGAAGTGAAGAAACTAGAATACAAACTAGTGCCCATATGGGGTCCCGGAGCATGCAAGGTGAGGATTTAGCTATTAGGCTATTGTACCAGAAGCCTAAAATATTCTTTAGTGGGGTTGTAATGAGAAAAACTGGAAGACACATGCCATGGGCTGAACACAATGCCTAGCATGTAATTATGATAAAAAAAAAATCCCCCTGGCCTGGTACAGGTAGCCTAGTAACTAAATCCTTGCCTTACAAGTGCCAAGATCCCATATGGCCGCTGGTTCTAATCCTGGCAGCTCTACTTCCCATCCAGTTCTTTGCTTGTGGTCTGGGAAGGCAGTAGAGAATGACAGATCAAAGCCTTAGGACCCTGCACCCACGTGGGAGATCCAGAAGAGACTCCTGGTTTTGGATTGGCTCAGCTCTGGCCATCACAGCCATTTGGGAACCAGTAGGTGGAAGATCTTTCTCTGTATCTCCTTCTTCCTGTAAATCTCTCAACAAAAATAAATCTTGGGACTGGTGTGATAGTGTAGTGGTTAAAAGTCCTCGCCTTGAATGTGCTGGGATCCCATTTGGCGCCGGTTCTAATCCTGGCAGCTCCATTTCCAGCCAGCTCCCTGCCTGTGGCCTGTGACAAGCAGTTGAGGATGGCCCAAAGCCTTGGGACCCTGCGCCCGAGTGGGAGACCCAGAAAAAGCTCCTGGCTCCTGGCTTTGGATTGGCTCAGCTCCAGCTGTTGCGGCCCCTTGCAGAGTGAATCAATGGACAGAAGATCTTCCTCTCTGTCTCTCATCCTCTCTGTACATCTGCCTTTCCAGTGAAAATAAATAAATCTTTAAAAAATAAATAGTAAATAAATAAGTCTCCTTTACATCTCCCCCATCTTAAATATCTGAATGTGCTTTGATGTCTCTTTTTCTAATCCTATGCGTTTTATACAACTGCTTATGGATTTAGGGGAAAAAAACACGTGACTTCCTCCTATTGTTTCATCCTGGCCCAAATCAATATTGTTCCAAATTTGCTATGAAGAGTATCTTGTGTGTATGTGTATATGGTCATCAGAAAAAATTTCGTAAATTTTGTCAATGTAAATGTGACTTTTGCAATAGTTAAAAAACACCAAACACTCATCACTCTGAACAGATCTCCCACTTCCCAGTTAATATTTAAATAACTGCTCTTCCAGGTTCATTCTCACATTCGAGTATAGTTACGTACGCACTTGTTTTGATGGATGACAGCCAACGCATACATGATAGTTTCCTAAGATTCGTGTACGTTGGCTCTATGTTCACAGGACAACAAGATCACCTAGTGACACATTTCTCAGACTAGGGCCCTGCTGTTAAGTGGTGCCTGACTGCATCCCTGAAGAATGCTGAGGAAGTAATTGGCCTAACCTCAGCCGGGAAGCTAGCTTTATGACATAAAGCAAAGTGACCACTGACAAATAATTTGAAATGGGAAAGTAACCACGCAATGTAATGCAATGAGTATCTGCTTCCAGAACCATCATTTCATTAGATAAAAGCAGAGCAAGAATCAGTCACCACAGGCACTGCTATTTCCCAGGGAAGCTACAAACAGCTGCTTGTAGTTGTCAGGGGGTGGATTTTTAGCTCCTCCTGCTTTCCTTCAGATTGGACCCTGCTGTCCCCACTTCCATAGCATTTATATATACATTTTTTCCTAATTATTTTTATTGAAAGGCAGCACTAGAAGGAGAGGGAAAAACAGACTGACCTTCCATCTGATGGATCACTCCCCAAATGCCTACAATGGCCATGGCTGGCCTAGACTAAAGCAAGGAGCTTCATCCAGGTTTCCCATGTGGGTACCAGCCCAAGTACTGCTTACTTGGCTTCAGATTGGTTCAGCTTCAGCTACTGTAGCCATTTGGAACCAGCAGATGGAAATGCTCTTTCTCTCTTCCCATTACCCCTCTATGTAACTCTGTCCTTCAAATAAAAATAACTCTTTTTTTTTTTTTTTTAATAAAAAGCTTCCTTAGTGGGCCCGGCGCGGTGGCGCAAGTGGTTAAGGTCCTCGCCTTGCACACCCGGGATCCCATATGGGCACCGGTTCTATCCCGGCAGCCCCGCTTCCCTTCCAGCTCCCTGCCTGTGGTCTGGGAAAGCAGTCGAGGACGGCCCAAAGCTTTGGGACCCTGCACCCGTGTGGGAGACCCGGAAGAAGCTCCTGGCTTCGGATCGGCATAGTATCGGCCCGTTGTGCTCACTTGGGGAGTGAATCATCGGACGGAAGATCTTCCTTTCTGTCTCTCCTCTCTGTATATCCGCCTTTCCAATAAAAAAATAATAAAAATAAATCTTAAAAAGAAAAAAGCTTCCTTAGTGTGCACAGATGGGTTACTCTGTAACTTACATGGTTTAAACACCTTTTTATATCATCATGTTACTTTCTCATAACTTAATGGTATAACTACATTAAATTTTAAGAAGGCACATACAACCAACTAGGATCTGTAATACAATATAATCAGACGAATGTCTCGTTACAAACAAACAGTGAAGAATTTTCTTGGGTCCTGAGCTGTGGCACACACATCCCATATGGGTAACAATTCATGAACCTGGCTGCTCTACTTGCCATCCAGGTTCCTGCTCATGAACTAGGAAAGCAACAGAAGGCAGCTCAAGTACTTAGGCCCCGGACCCCACATGGGCGACCTGGAATCAGCTCCTGGCTCTGACTTTGGATTAGCTCAGCTTCAGCTGCTGCAGTCTTTTGCAGTGAGCCAGCAGACTGAAAGCTCTCTGGGTCTCTCTTTCTCTCTGTAAATCTGCTATTCAAATAAAAATAAATAAAACTTACCAAAAAAAAAATTCTAACTTTAGTGAGTTTCATTACAAGCTAGAGGGATTTTTCTGGATTTGTTAAAAATATGTTGTTTCCAAGGAGAGGTCAAGGAAGGCTTAAAACCCCTAGACCCTTCCTCAAACCTTTGGTGTCTCTCTCTCCCTCCTCTTTTGAGAGCACCCCACCTCCTGGCTTCTCTTCCGGAGGTGCTTCCCTTTCCTTCCCTTCCCTGCTCCCTGGTCCCTTCGCAAATAAACTTTTCTGTTTGTAAAAAAAAAAAAAAAAATGTTGTTTCCTTTATTGTCTATCAAAATTACAACCCATTGCTATGACCCAGCAATTCTACTTCTGGGAAGATACACACCAATTCAAGTGCAAACAAATGAAACAACACATACAACGTGATCAGTGCTCCATCACATAGCAGCAGAATCCTGGAGTAAGCCAAATACCATATAGAGGAGTGTAATACTGCCAAGCGCCCACACAAAGGGACCATCAAAAAGTTCATAGAAATGCGTACTGTGAAAATCCACTGTAGTATCTCCAGCAAAAAACAAAAACAAACTCCTACCAACTTGCTCTAATAAATCCGAACAGAATTTATTTTGAGGGACTAAGACATTTAAAAAGGCTCCCTTATCATTCCCGGCATGAATTCGGCTGGCACCGAGGCAAGAAGCTAATGTACAGTGAAGCCTGGGCGGAAGAGTGGTCAAGTTACTGACACGTCACATGAAGTTCCCACAGAAACCAGCAGTTTACAGGCTAAAGCTGAGCTAACTTGCTGCTCAGTGGATGCCACAACTGATGCAACCAGGTCAGCCTCACAACAATAGAGCTTTCCAGTGGAATTTTAACAAGTGATTTTATTTATTTGAAAGGCAGAGTAACACAGAAAGTGGTAAAGATAGAGATATTCCATCTGATTGCTCACTCGCCAAATGGTTGCTAAAAGCAGGGCTGGTCCAGGGCAAAGCTAGAAGCCTAGAACTCCAGCTAGGTCTTCTACGTGAGCCATCCTCTACTGTTTTCCCAGATATATTAATGGAGCTGGATTGGAAGCAGAGCTGCTGGGACCCAAACTAGTGCTTCAATATGGGACCCTGGCATTATAAGCATTGGCTTAATCCATGATGCCACAACACCAGCCATCTGTCCCCTCTCCCGATGGAAATTTTATATATGATTCTGAAATACACTATTCTGTTCAGCCATGACTTTCCAATATGATTCTGATGACAAAACACAGTTTCTGTCAAAGCAATAGCTACCAAGACTAGAAGTGGTTTGATCAAAGCAGAAACAGATCAGTCAAGAGCGTATGTCACAGCAACAGTTTTTTGGGGCGTTGAAGGAATTTTGTTTGTTGACTTTCTGGAAGAACAGTAACATTCATGCCTGGCACAATGGCTCAACTGGTTACGCCTTCCTTTGCAAGCTCCAGGGTCCCATAGAGATGCTGATTTGTGTGCCAGCTGCTCCACTTCCCTTCCAGCTCCCTGCTTGTGGCCTGGGAAAGCAGTAGAGGATGACCCAAAGCCTTGGAACTCTGTATCCACAAGGGAGATCTGGGAGAAGCTTGTGGCTTTGGATCAGTTCAGTGCCAGCCGTTGCCAACCATTTGGGGAAAGAACCAGCAGACAGGGGCCCGGTGACGTGGCCTAGGAGCTAAAGTCCTTTCCTTGAACGCACCCAGGATCCCATATGGGCGCTGGTTGTAATCCCAACAACTCTACTTCCCATCCAGCTCCCTGCTTGTGGCCTGGGAAAGCAGTTGAGGACAGCCCAAAGCTTAGGGACCCTGCACCTGTGTGGAAGACCCCGAGGAAGTTCCTGGCTCCTGGCTTTAGATCGGCACAGCACCGGCCGTTGAGGTCACTTGGGGAGTGAACCATTGGACGGAAGATCTTCCTCTCTGTCTTTCCTCCTCTCTGTATATCTGACTTTGCAATAAAAATAAGTAAATCTTAAAAAAAAAGAACCAGCAGACAGAGGATCTTTCTCTGCTCCTCTCTCCTCTCTGTAAGTCTGCTTTTTCCAAATTAATAATAATTATATATATATAAATGAATCCTAAAAGAAATAGTAACATTCACTCCTCAAGCAGCCTCAATGGCTGAGTTGTGCTGATTCAAAGCCAGGAGTGTCTTCCCGATCGATCTCCCACATGGGTGCAGGGTCCCAAGGCTTTAGGTCATCCTTGACTGCTTTCCCAGGCCATAAGCAGGGAGCTGGATGGGAAGTGGGGCTGGTGGGATTAGAACCAGTGCCCATATGAGATCACGGTGTGTTCAAGGCAAGGACTTTAGCTGTTAGGCCATAGCGTTGGGCCCATCCCCTTGCATTCTAACACCAGTTCAGTTATTATGCACAGACAAAAAGGCCTGGGTAAACAATCATGTAATCATAGTGTGGAATATATTTTCTAGCTTCTAAGACAAGAAGCACAAGGGATTAAACCCTGGGAGGGGGGAATATATATATATATATATATATACACCCTAGAAATAAATTTGGACTCCCTTATTCTGGTTAAACATCTTTTACTTCTATTTTTCCAGGTTATTAAATCTTCTATGTCAACACAGCTAGGAAGGAAACGGACTTTTATAGCTGAACTCAGATTTCAAATAAAGCCTTTTATGTTTCTTTAAGCACATGTCCGTATAACTAAATTTCCCACCAGTAGCTTCTTAGAAAAAAAGACAAAGGAATGAAAACACAAACAGGGGGTTCAACAGTCAAAAGGAAATGTCAAACTCCCACACAACTTCAAAGAACATTCCTACCCCTTCCCCCATCTATTGCTATTTCATTCCCTTTAACTCTTTAGGTTTTTTTAGTTCCAGGTAGTGTGAAAACAACACACACACCCTCTTTTTCTCCAATGGTATAACTACTGTTTTTTGTACATTTACTATGTACCAGTTGCTCACTATCTGTTATATCATCAATTCCTCTCAAAACTCCATGAGATAAGGCCTGGCGCGATAGCATAAAGGTTAAGGTCCTCACCACCGGGATCCCATATGGGTGCTGGTTCTAATCCCTGCAGCTCCACTTCCCAGCCAGCTCCCTGCCTGTGGCCTGGGAAAGCAGTCAAGGACGGCCCAGAGCATTGGGACCCTGCACCCATGTGGAAGACCTGGAAAAATGTTCCTGGCTCCTGGTTTTGGATGCCATCTTAATGGCAACAATTAAAGCAAAAAGTTTCAGATTCAGATAACATGCAAAGTTATTGATTTTTACTTTGTTCCTTAGGTTTCTATCTTTTTATCCAAGCATGCCTTTCCTTGCTATCTTGTTACTGTTGCTCTGAGGTAAGCTTGAAATCATAACATGTAACTTCTCCTTGGCTGTTTTTTCACAATGTCTTGGTTATTCTGTGTCCTTTGTAATTCCCTATAATTTTTTTTAAAGGTTTATTTATTTTATTGGAAAGGCAGATGCACAGAAAGGAGGAGAGACAGAGAGGAAAATCTTCCACCCGATGATTAACTCCCCAAGTGACCACAATGGCCAGTGCTATGCTGATCCAAAACCAGGAGCCAGGAACTTCTTTCTGGGTCTCCCACATGGGTGCAGGGACCCAAGGCTTTGGGTTGTCCTCGACTGCTTTCCCAGGCCACAGGCAGGAAGCTGGCTGGGAAACGGAGCTGCCGGGATTAGAACCGGCACCCCTTATGGAATTCCGGCGCGTTCAAGGTGAGGACTTCAACAATTATGCTATCGTGCCAGGCCCAATTCCCTATGAATTTTTATACCAGCTTGTCAATTACTACAAACATCAGCATGGAAACTGATTCCAATTTTAGCTATGATATTTAGGGCTTTGATCCACTTTTGAGCTAATTTCTGGTGAATGGTATTAAATGGAGATTATAGGATGTAAGAAACCACAATGCTCTGGGATGCTACTTGGTGCAGTGGGTAAGATGCTGTATTCCACAGCAGATAACATGGGTTCTGGTCCCAGCTTTGTTTTCAATTTCAGTTTTCTGCTAATGTGCACCTGGGCAGGCAGCAGGTATAGTTCAAATACTGGTGTCCCTGCTACCCAGTTTCCATGTGGGAAACTGATTGCACTGTGGGCTCTACACTTCACCCTGGCTTGTTCTGGCTGCTGTGAGCATGTAGGGAATGAGCCAGCAGATGCAGGATTTCTCGCTAACTTTCAAATAAATATGTTCAAACAGTAAAATATTTAAAAACACAGAAAACCCACAAGGCTCTGCAATGACACATAAATCAACAGAACTTTCCTTTATGTTGATGTCTTTTAGATTCTTATTGGCACTTCTTTTTCAGTTTTTTGTTTTGTTCTGTTTTTGCAAAGATTTTATTTTTACCAGAATGGAAGAGTTAACAGAGAGAAGGAGAGTCGGGGAGAGAGAGCTTTCATCTGCTGGTTCATACCCCAAACGACTGAACTGCCTGGAGCTCAGCTGATCTGAAGCCAGCAGGCAGGACCTTCTTTCAGGCTCCCACAGTAGGTGCAGGGAACCAAGGCCTTGGGCTTCCTTCCACTGCTCCCCAGGCTTACGCAAGAGAGCTGGATCAGAAGTGGATCAGCCAGTGCCCACTAGGATGCTGACATCACAGGCTTAGGATTTGCTTGTTACTATCCCACCGCATTGGTTCCAACAACTGACTTTTTTCCTCCCCCCTAAGATTTTTATTTTCATTGGAAAGGCGGATCAGATTTACAGAGAGGATAGACAGACAGAAAGATCCTCCATCCATTGGCTTACTCCCCAAAAGGCCCCAATGGCCACAGCTAGGCTAATCCAGAGCCAGGAGCCAGGAGCTTCTTCTGGGTCTCACACTTTGCACCATCCTCTACTGCTTTCCCAGGCTATAAGCAGGAAGTCGGATGGCAAGTGGAGCAATGAGGACATGAATTAGCATCCACATGGGATCCCGGCACATACTGGTGAAGGATTCAGCTATTGAACCATCCATCACACCGGGCCCCCAATAGCTGACTTTCTAAAGAGTTTTTTTTTTTATTGTTATGTTTGAAGGTATATTGACTTTATAAAACTTAAAATATGCTTTGGTATTATTAATTTCAAATATAAAAAGTCAATCTTGATTTTTAACAAATTTCTAAAGATTATTAACTCTAAAAAGAACATTAAAAATTGGTTTTGATTCACCCACAAAATGTTAATGATTATCTCCAATTTTCCCTGAGGTTCCTTATAGGCAGGGATCACTGTAACACAGCTCTTCTAGTTGCGAGTGTGGAAAAACTAAATAAAAATCCCAGTGATAATGGGACAGAAGTCTCATTTTGGTACAAAGGTTTCAGCATCATCATACACTCTCTCAAAGCACACCCTGTGAAATGGGGTCAAGACAATTACGTTAATTGTAAAAATAGACATTTTGCAGAAAGGCAAATGTTACACAAATTCAGAGGCTACCAGAGGATATCTCTGTAACACTCAGCACGCTGATCCTGGCTTTTGGGCACTTCCAATGCCACGTCACCGAAGGTACTTACAGGAGAGAGTTTCTGGATGAGGTCATGTGCCAAATGCACAAGGTTCTTATCTTCATGAAGACATTTCTGAAACTTTTTGCTCTCCTCATCTTCTAGAAGGTCAAAATCAATAGCCGCGTCCAGTAAGGCCTGAATCAGCCCCTTCCAGGACTTGAGCGCTGGGACCTGAGGCGCAACAGCAGCACTGATGCCTGTGCCAATGACCAGCACGAGTTCTCGGGGCTTCTTGGTTTTCAGACTTGGAAGCAGCTTCCTGGAAAGCAAAAGAAACCAGAGCATCAGAACACTCTGCAGGCTGGAAGTACGTAAGACAACAGTCTGCTTGAAACCAGGGATGTCAGAGGCAACCTGCAGAGCTGGAAAGATGACAAAGTACCAATTGCTGACACTCCACAGAGTAGCGTAATCAAAAACACTCGAATACTGTGCTTCTGCTTTTTGAAAAGCAAAGTATAAACCCATTCCAAGAAGCCTATAAATCAACCTTAAAACATGTTTTCTCCTCCATAGGCCTGTGAGCTAAGAAAACCCACAAATACCAGAAAAAGGTCCAAATAGGAGCATTTCACAGCTCAGCTGAACTCTGCTATCTAAATTACATTTCATAGCAAAATTAAATTTCAAAAGGATATGTTTGATTTGCACTCCCAAAAGACAGAAAAGAATGCCATACAAATTAAATTTCTATTACTGAGACATATATAATAGCAGATGAAACAAAGTCAACAAAAATTTTAATCTCAAATTTTACAAATGTTAATATAAAAATGAGCATGAGACAGTGAAAAATGAGGACAAATCTAGCTTTGATTATTGCCAATATTCTCAGCGCTCCAGGTGTCTCCCTCCTCCCATCAGCTAGCAGAATTCTGCAACACAGGAGCCTCAGACATCCAAACAAACAAAGCACAAGACTACTCAATAAACTTGACAGAAAGCTTACCACGATGGGTACAGAACAGGTTTCTCTTTTGAGGCTTATATGTAATCTAGTACCCCTCTTTGATTCTCCAAGAATGGGTTAAAGCTACTATTTGAAATATGCCCCTTCACTTTAATTTTTGCTAATGGCATGCCCTTTTGGCTCCAACATTGCTTTCTGTCCAAATAATAACATGAACAGAAAACAAGATCACATTGTGGCATAAACCAAGGAAGGAATGTATTTTTAAAGCATGGGAGATTGAATTTTGGAGAAATCATGTTTAAGCTTGCCTTCCGGATGCCCAGAGCTCCTGTATTCAGTCACTCAACAAAAACAAAACAAAACAAGACAAAACAAAACAAAACAAAACCCCATACCAGTCACGAAGGCAAGTTCTAGTGGTTACTGCAAAAGCTCAGGCTCCTTGAGAAGACTGATGACAGATACTAGATGCAAAGGACACAAAATGAGCTTTGATCCAGAAGAATCAAGACAGACCAACATGGATACACACAAAGGAGCCAGAGGAATTGTGAGTTGGCAGCCATCAGGGGCTCTGGAAGGGCGGGGAGGACTTCATCCTTACACTGCTGTTCTACCTCAAGTTTTCACATATACATCTGAGCTAGAATTCTTACTAACTAAAACTTGCAGTTCAAAAAGGATATTATCAGTTTTGTATTATTTGCCATCCTTCCTAGAAACTGAGTGGTTGCAATTGTTTTGAAGAGATACATGCATAAAAAGTAGGGTAAGACGACAGAAGACAAGCAACAAATCTTAGAATTTATGAAGGCCAATTCCCTTTCCAGGACCTTGGAACTGTTCAGGGACACTTGACAAAGGAGGAGCTCCCAGATCAGAAGCCGTTACACTGCTGTCTCGGGACTTGCCTTCTCGAGCAACTGTGGCAAGAGAACTCGGGATCAAGTATAAGTAAGGATAAGACAGAATGCAAGTTTACGGAATATGTGCTTTTAATTTCATTTTCCACTAGGTAAAAAAAAAAAAAAAGATTTATAAATAATTTATTTGAAAGGCAAAGTCACAGAGAGGTTGAAAGAGATAGGCCTTCATCCACTGGTTCACTTCCCAAATGGCCATAAAAGCCAGGTCGGATACAGGAATGAAGCCAGGATCCAGACTACATCCAGGTCTCCTGTGAATGGTGATGCAGCCAAAGTATTTGGACCATCACCTGCTACCTCCCTACATGGATTAGCAGGGAGCTAAATGGGAAGTGGAATAGCCAGAACTTGAACCAAAGTCCCAGATGAACTTGCAAGCAGTGACCCTATCAAATGTGCAACAACATGGCCTTTCACTAACTTCAGGTAGCCTCGTATTAAACTTCTCCCAATCCTCTGCCTACAGGAGAAGGTTCCCGGGAGGCATTTTTATACCTGCCACACTCACACCCTACATCCAGTTAGGAGAAGGAGGATTCCTCTTATTCCTCTTTAGGGAAAAGATCCACAGCCTCTACTAGGTGTGAGACCCTTGGCAGCAGAGCCTACACCATGCCCAACACTCCCAGGGAGGCTCATCAGCAACTTAGGCCCTGCCCAGTGCACACCCAGATTCTCCAAGTGGCTTTCTAGTGCTTTTGCTAAACATGAACAGACCACTTACATTTTGAGGAAAGCCCCAGATTCCAGAATTAACCAAAGCACAGTAGCAGATAGGGAGGAATAAGAGACAACACAGGAAGGAAGAGGAAAATTTAAACCCATGACATCTTCCCCACCCAGATTTAAAATGTAAGTAAGTTCTACAAAGGCAGTGTCCTACAAGACAGCTTCTCCATGAAGGTACACTGGTGGCCAGTTTGAGAGAGCTATACTTTGTTTTAAGGTCTATCATTAGGAAATTTCAGGTTCTGAGAATGAGTGGAGCATGAGCTCTTACAAGCTCTGAGAAGGAAGGGATTTGGAGCTCAAAGGACTGGGAATAAAAACACTGTGGCCATGTTGGAAGGAACACACGGGTATTAGCAGAAAACAAATGGTGCCCGCAAAACACTAAGAAAATTTCCTACCTAAAGTTCTATGCTCAAACCATCAAATACATGTAAGATAAAGACACCTTTAAACATCTTCAAAGTTTTTTCTCCTATCTTTACTAAGGAAGACACACAAGGATGTGCTTCAGCATCAGAGATCTAAGACTTGAGGCCCAGAAACAGCAGTCATCCAACGGCAGCTGGATGGGGGAATTCTTGTGGCACCCTGTGAGCCATGCAAGCAGGACTGGGAACAACAGTACAGGGCAGAATCCAGAAACAGAAGCAACCAGCGTTACCATGTTTTAACAGACAAGCATTTACTCTTATGTCCCAGTGTCTCTGGGTATAAATCGAAAGGAAAGGGACACAACAACCAAACAAATGAGAAAATCTTTAATCTAGAGCAGTAAGTAGGCAAGAAATATAATCATATGTATTATTAGTTTCAGCTATGATTATAATTTGCAGTCATCACAATGCAAATATTAAATTGTCATAACAATACTGGCAGGGTATAAGAAGGGTGCGTGGGTGAGGGGAGCAGCCATGAAAGCAAACAATCTTTAAGTCATTAACTGAAAATAAATAAAGCTAAAGCAAATACAAAGTAGCCATACATATATTACAACATTACACAGACATCATTATTAGAAGACACAAACTGCAAGTGACCATCTCCGGAGAGGGACAGGGTACTGTGAGCCCTGCAGTGCTGACTTTATAACTACATATATCAGCTGGATAGCAGCACATGAGCGAAAACAAGTGAACAGAGTTCAGCATTACTATTTTTTAAATCTCCCACTAATGGAAATTTACTCGGTTCCTCTCATTCCCTTCTCTTGTTTACCTGGGCTTTTTGGAGGGGGGTGCGCCATCACTGAAGAATCCAAAAATCTCGTCTATATCAGAGGCCTGGCTCCCTGTAGAAGCCATCCAGTTTCTAAAATAGATTAAACACCATGGACCATGATTAGATCTGTAAAGTACACCATTCACAAGAGCATATACATTAAACAGTTTTCATAAGCTGTACCCCCTTAATGATGTTTTGGAGGTGTCCCCCTGCTTAACAGAGATTTATTAACACACATTCCAAACTGAAGGAATTAAATTACTCTAAAAGAAGGAAGTAAAAAAAAAAATCACAGACTTTGGCATTCACACTGTATCCTGTTCCTCCACCCACCAAAACACGCTGCTGTCCCCAGGTGACTAGCACTCCTCAGAGCTCAGCAAGCACCTGCTATTCTGCTGCATGAGACAGGTTTGGGGAAATAGGATAAAAATGACCCATATCTCTCAGCAGAAGCAAGCATAGGGTAAGAATAGAACAATCAATACCAACTTGCTGATTGTTAGACATTCCATGTTGCTGGACAAGCAACAAATCATGTCTTTCTGTCTGAACACTTTCAAATCATGCCCATATAAACGTAGAGAGGGATTATTAGGCAAAGACAAACATTGACTAATTATATTCAGGTGTTGAGAATAGTCAAAGTAAAGGGTTACCACAGATTAGAATTATAACCATAAAGAAAAGAGTTTGCCAAATTTTTTTTTTTTTTTTTGAAAGGCAGTTATACAGAGTATAGAGAGGGAGATGGTCTATCCCATGGTTCACTTCTCAAACCCAGGTTCCCCTCATGGGTGACAGGGACCCAAGTACACGGACCATCTTCTGCTGCCTTTCCAGGTGAGAAGGACTGGAAGTGGAGCAGGCAGGACTTGAATCCGCACTACGATGTAGCATGCCAGCAGCTTAATGTGCTGTGCCACGAAGTCGGTCCCGAGAAAAGTCTCAGTTGCTTAAAACTTCAATAAACTTTTTTTTTTTTTAAACTTCAATAAACTTTAAAGTAAACCTTAAGCTAATGGTCATTACTCATTTGATAAAAACAATAGTAGTTTAAACACTACACAGAGAATAATATACTTCTGCCAGTTTTTTCATATTCCACTGTCAATAATTAGAAAAAGTGAATTACTAATAATTATTAGAAATTTAATGTCTTATCAGCATGTTTTCCTTTAATAAAACATTTCAAAGTTTGCTGAATCCATTTTTCTGATAAATAGAAAGTTCCAATCTTTAATCCATTTTCCATCATGCATAGTTCTTCAATTGTATAACTATTAGGAAAATCAGAAACCATAAAGTGACTGACATGAGCTAGGAAAATCTAGTCAAATCTTTGATCTACTGGTGAAAAATTGGGGGTGAGAAGACAGACAAAGAGTGCAACCCAATCTAGCACACTCTGCCTAACTTAACCATCTGCGGCACCTGTTGTTTCTTTTCTTCTCCTTCCTTCCTTCCTCCCTCCCTCCCTCCCTTCCTTTCTTTTAAATTTTATTCAGACTTTCCAGATGGCTAGAGTCCTAAGGACATCTAAGCAGGCGGCCACTGATGACTCAGTCCTCAGACCCTACTACCCACACGGGACACCTGGGATGACTTTCTGATCCTGGCTTCTGCGTGGCCTAGCCTTCTTTCTCTTCTACCTCTCAAAAGAAACTAACTAATTAAAAATTTAAAAATAAATTAGGTAGCTATTCTAAAAATTAAAGTCAATTAATTACAAAATGGTGTATGTTTCTGAGTCCTACTGAATCAGAATTTTTGAGGGATTCTGATAGTAGGACAAATAGAAAACACTTAAATTAATTTTTCCAAAATCCAACTATTTTGCTAAATGCAAAATGTACAGAAGTGCACATATAATTTATTCCAATCCATGTCTTCCAGTTTGCAAGTACCACCAGGCGGGATATAATTGCCATCAAAATACTTACAAGTTTTAATTCATGTGAAACCATTTTCCATTTCAATTGAGGACAGTTTTAAAAGGTACACAAAGAAAAGTATGCTCACCCTTCTTCCTTCAAAACAGTTCTATCATCTCTTGACCAAATTACACCCTAACAATGTGTATTGCACAACACTAATGTAAAATGTAGAGAAAATTTCTTGTTCATTAAGTTTTGAAGATAGCTACCTTCAGATCATAACACCGTAAGCTGCAAATTGCACGCCACAAAATTTGTCTCATTCATGTACAGTGCATATGAAACATAGATGAATTTCATATTCAGACGAGTTTCACCCCCAAGATAACTCAAATACTCCAAAATCCCCAAACATAGGAAACCTGAAATGCTTCTGTTACAAGCATTTCAAGTAAGAGACATTCAACCTGAATTATTTTCCTATTTTGCAGGCAGAAAACGGAGCACACAAAGGTTTGTACTCGACAGCCTCAGAATTCAAACATAGCGACACTGCCTCCCAAGTTCATGCTCAAACTACATCATTACTAAGTTCTCCAAGCATTCACTTTTCAGAAAAAAAAAATACTAGAACTCCAAAACCATCAAAAAGGAATCATGTATGTTTTAGAAAGCAAATATTTGAGTCAATTTTTCTGCAGGTCTACTCCACTGACCATCATTTAAGGAATTTAAGCATAGCCAAGAGCTCCTGACTGCTTGCTCTGAACAGGTCAGCATGCCACATGGTACCTGATCCTATCGTCATCCATCTTACATGATGTGACTTCACAAGGACATCCCAGTAGTATACACAGGTAAGCAACAGCACACTCCTTCTGGAGCACTGTCCGAGGGAGTGGGCAGGGCAGGGAAAAATCCATTTTCATGTTTACCCTAAACAGTAGGTAGCTACTGCTAAAGCTAACTGTGAAATGTCTGACCTGGAGTTCGTAACATGTGTCAAGTAGATCACATAAAAATTTTTCCCCAGATTTATTTCCTTATTGTAAAGGCAGAGAGTAAGGTCTTCCATCAGCTGGTTTACTTCACATTTGGCAACACCAGCTAGGGTTGGCCAGGTTGAAGCCAGAAGCTTTATCTGGGTCTTCCACTCAGTGGCAGTGGCTCAAGCACCTGGGCTGCTTTTCCAGGCATGTTTGTAGGGAACTGGATCAGAAGTGAAGTATCTGGGACACAAATCAGAGCCCACATGGCATCACAGGTGGTAGCTTAACATGTTTCATCAAAATGCTGGCTCAATAATTTCTTCACATGGGCACTAGCCGAGTATTTGTTTCAGTAGGACTTGCTATGTACACGGGATTCGGAAATGTTTTCCTGCCACAACGAAGGAAGTGACCCGTAGCAGGATCTTCATTACTCCAATTACTGCTAAGCACTGAGAAATCCTTCAATGCCAACCTAATCCAGCAAAATAAAAGTAAGACTCTTGGTAAGCACTGAGAAAAGTAATTGACAGCCACTTAAAAAAAATGTGAAGGCCAAAGTCTTCACATGAGATATCACTTCCGTTTTGAAACCTGTCATTCTGAAAGGAAAAATGTATCAGTGAGTCCATGCTAGAGGACCTGTGGCTTGCAAAGCATTCAGAGGCTTCTGCTTCTAGAGTCCTGGTGCTGGCCGAAACAGCAAAACCCTGCCTCCACTGGAGAACCATGCTGAAGCCCCCAGCCTCCCTTCACGGCTGTGAATGCTAAAATGCTGCAAGTAGACACTGCTGAGTTGTAACAAGTGGTGCCTTTATGAACTCATAACAACATACATTGGTAGAATGGCAAATGGAATAAATAAAAGGAAGAGAAAGTTTTTGCTTCCTTTTTCCTATTTTTTTTTTGTAGGGGGTGGAAGGATCCCCAAAATACTAGCTTGAGAAGGATGCATACTTCATGCCTGAAAAGGATACACTGTAATTATAGCAAGTTTCCCTGCACTGGTTTCAATAGGGCAAGCAACAACTGGAACAAAAAATAATTTATTTCTTCTGTGTAAACATAGACAAGGGTTGGCTTCACTTTCTAAGGGAAAAAGATAGTCATCTTCTGACTTGAGAAGAAACCAAACCCCTCTCATTGTGGCTCTTGGCCTCCTTCCAATGCATCTGTTTTCTAGCAACTGTGAGGAATTACAGGAAGGAAAAGATACCCAGTATGAAGCTCTACAAAAGAACACTCAAGAAGCCTGCTAACAACGAACAAAACGAATAAAAATGTTGCTGCTGGAGCTGATGTGTTTATAGTTGCCCAGTGTAAGCCTGCAGCTTACCTTTTCCATGTACAAAGCCAAGGTGTCATTTCTGCTCCCAAGTGTACACAAGAGGCAGGAATTAGGCCTGCCTGTGCACGGACTCCATTCCTCTACACACCCTGTCATGAAGCATGTCTCCCCTCCATGGCTCAGTCAGGGTACTCCTACTTCAGTTCCCAGACGGGACTGACAGCCTGGTTCTTCTGCTGGGTGACATCTTTATCACAGTCACCTCCTGAATATCTGCTTGCACACATGACAGCAGTGCTATTCAGTCCTGACACTTTCTCTCCAAACAATGTCAGAACGGGCTCATCACACATAGGGTTTCCAGGAGACCTTTAGGACTGAGATGGATCACTCCAAACTCTAAAAGCTCATTTGAGATTCATGTCCCCAAATAGACCCTACTGGTATCCAGGCTCAAGAGAGCAGATGTTTTTATGAGTGATTTCCCAATTATAAAGCTGAAACAACACATCATTTAAGGAAGGAATAATGGAACACCAAATTAAGATCTGATATGAACTAGAAGTTGGTGGCTGGACATGAGAATTTTACTGTGAAATGAATAACAATGTCTCAGTGTTTTTCCCGCCTTTGAAGCCTCTGGGAAGTCCTATCCTGAAAATAATGACATACGCTGCTAAGGGGGGAGGGGTTTCAAAAACATTTAATAAAAGCATTTCCTAAGTACTTAGTACAATCTTACAAATAATTCCATCAGAAATGACAGGCTATTCATTAAAAATGAAATCACATAAATACAAGATTTCCAGTATGCCCTTTGAGAATTAAATTCCTGCTATTAAAATAGTGAGTGATGTATGATCCTATTGCCACCTAGTCACTCTTCATGCCAACCTAGTATGCACAAAAATGTTACATTCAAGGGATGGCATG